TTTTTTTTTTTTTTTTTTTTTTTTTTTTTTTTTTGGCTATTACATTCTGTCATTGCATTCCCATATTCCTTTTCCATGTTCCTGCATTTAACCCCCAATAGTGGGGTCACTTATGAGTATTTCTTAAAATACTCCAGCCACGTGCTATCTCTATTTCGGGTTAAGGCAAGATATTCTTGTACGGCTGACACATGCATAGGGTAGTCATATTATTTTGTTAGACTTAGGCTAGAATAGGATGTTTTTTTTTTATTCAAACGTTTATTTATTTTATTTAGTCTTTTATTGTGTCATTTTTAAAAGTGTTTTCGAACACGTAAGTCCATGACTGTGTTTTAAGCTGAAGGTTATGTTTTATGAAAGTTTAAATGAAGTATTTCCGCATTCATGTTTACGACATGTATACAGTAGCAAAGTTAAATTAAGTAGAAAATTTGGTGTAGTTACAGATAGAAATATTCAAAAAGATTTTTTTACTAGCTTTAATTTTAATAATATGGTTTATATTAGATGATTGACACAAAATTGAAGGAATAAAGAATTAGTTTTAATATGTTTGAAAATTTTGTTATAAAAAATTTTAAATTCTATTATATCACGATTTATACATACTCTTTATTTTTACTAAACCTCCAAATTTAAATCTAAAGGTAAACTATTTTTTTTTTTAATTTCGTTATCTGTCCTTATATTTTCTTTCGAGTAATCCGAGTGTAACCAGTTAAGTGTCGTTATTTAGTTGTCTTTAATTCTAATGTTGAGTTATGTTAAAATAAATGTGCAATTTTTGCTTCTGATGATCTGATGAATTTGTTTTTCTTTTTTTTTTTTAATAATTATAGATTAATTTGGGTTTGTTTCTTCATTTTTAATATCTTTTATGTAATGTTTGTATCCAATAACTATGCAAGGCATATAAATTTCAGGTTGTCAAATTTTTCGGATTGAGTTACCAATTCAACCGACCCGGATTTTAGGTTGGGTAAAAAAAAAGTTCTCCAACTCAACCCGAACTTTGTACCCCGTAAAAATTATAAATGATTTTTAATATCATTATCGATAATTGATAAACTTACTCTCATTATTTAAAAATATTTATTATTTAAAATAATATAACAAGAGATGGTAAAATTAAGAGAATCTAAATGTAAATGATAAAATTATAAATATAAAATAGAGTAAATAGTAAAGGAAGTATCTAAATAACAAAATTTAAACCATATTAAAATAATAAATAAATAATAATGATAATTTCCTATGAAAAAAATCAAAATACAAAATCTAAAAAATATTAAAAAAAAAAAAAAATCCTATTAAAAACAAATCATAAATAAGAATACAAAATATAATATAAGGTGGTAAAATTAAGAGAATGGTAAAATCAAAAGAATCTAAATATAAATGGTAAAATTATAAATATAAAATAGAGTAAATAGTAAAGGAAGAATCTAAATAACAAAATTTAAATCATATTAAATTTAAAATAGAAAGAGTACGAAAAAGTAAATCAATAGCAAAATTTAAACTAATAAAAAAATAATTTTGTATCAAAATAAATCATAAATAAAAAAATGTAAACGAACTTAAATTAAACACCATCTTAAAATTAAAATTAAAAATATAAATAAATAATTTCAAAAGTATATTATAAAGGAAAGGATTTAGATAACAAAATCTAAACCATCTAAAATTAAACTAAAAAAATGCATAAATAACAAAATTTAAATGATATAAAATTAAAATTTTAAAAAATTAATAAAAACACCCGTACAACAAAACCTAAACTATATCAAAATTAAAATTAAAAAATAAATAATTTCGTATATCTAAAAAAATCTAATTACAAAATCTAAATAATATCAAAATTAAAATTTTAAAAAATAAATAAATAAACTAGATAACAAAATCGGAATCATATTTAAAATTTTTAAAAAAAAATTCCTATATAAATAGGAGGTATAGGAAATCACCTCAGTGTAGAAGCAACAAGTTTGGAGGTATAGGAAATCACCTCCGTGTAGAAGCAACAAGTTTGTAAATTTGAGATACAGACATGGGTTATAGAGAGAGAGCTTAGTTTTGGTAAACAGTTTGGTTTTGGCAGTCTTGGCATTAGCTTTGTTTTCTTCTGGTGAAAAGCTTTCGGTTTCTTACGATGGAAGAGCTCTCACGATTAATGGACAAAGAAAAATTATCGTCTCGGGTTCAATTCATTATCCTCGCAGCACTCCTGAGGTTTTCTTGTTTTTTCTTTTAATAATTTTAATTAACTATTTAATTTCATAAATAATTAATAAGTTGTTGGTTTATTTTGGGATGTAGATGTGGCCACTTTTGATAGACAAGGCTAAACAAGGTGGCATTGACGCAATTGAAACCTATGTGTTTTGGAATGCACACGAGCCTCAACAAGGCCAAGTAAGTTCACATTAGATATTATTCTTTTTTAAATAAATTTATTATTTCTAAGTTTTTTTATTTTCCCTTTTTCTTTTTTAGTATGATTTTTCAGGAAATAATGATCTGGTCAGATTTATTCGGACAATTCAAGAACAAGGGCTGTATGCTATTCTCAGAATTGGACCATATGTTTGTGCCGAATGGAATTATGGGTATTTTTTTTTTTATCATTTTATTTTTATTTTGTGTTTATTTTTTAATTAATTTTATTTTATTTGCAGTGGATTTCCTGTTTGGTTGCATAACATTCCAGGCATTGAGTTCAGGACCAAGAATAAAGTTTTCATGGTAATTTTGTTAATTATCACTACTTTCATTATTATTTAACATTTAGTTTTTGTGGTAATTTTGTTAATTATCACTAAATATATATAAATTTTTATTGTGATTTAGGATGAAATGGAAAAATTCTCCACATTGATAATAAATATGATGAAGGAGTATGAGTTATTTGCATCACAAGGAGGACCCATAATTATTGCTCAGGTTTTATTTTATTTTTCATTAGTTATTTTTCTTTTTTTTTTTTAGAAAAAAAAAACAAAGAAAGATAATATTGATTATGCTTTTTTTTTTATATATATATAAAAAATTAGATTGAAAACGAGTACGGTAACATAAAAGGATCATACGGACAAGCTGGAAATGAATATGTGAAGTGGTGTGCTGATCTGGCACTTTCTTACAACCTCAGCATTCCTTGGATCATGTGTCAAGAGGATGATGCTCCTCAGCCCATAGTACGAATTTACTGTTTTTTTCTAATAATTTTTTTTTAATTATAACTATTATTATATAATAATATATTTTTTTTTTTGTTTCTCTTTTACAGATTAACACTTGCAATGGATTCTACTGTGACCAGTTCAAACCCAATAGCAAAAACAGTCCCAAAATGTGGACTGAGAATTGGACTGGCTGGTATTAATCTTTTATTTAATTATTTATTTTAAGAAAATAAAGATTTTTTTACACCTAAAATAATTAGGTTCAAGGCTTGGGGTTCCAGAGATCCCTTGAGAACAGCCGAGGATCTTGCATTTGCTGTGGCACGTTTCTTCCAATATGGTGGAACCTTGCAAAATTACTACATGGTACAGCACCTTATTATCCTATAACTAGTTTTTCTTTTGCAAATTCTTATATTTTGTTCCTTCTATAGTATCATGGTGGAACGAACTTTGGTAGAACCTCGGGTGGTCCTTATATCACCACGTCGTATGATTACAATGCACCTCTCGATGAATATGGTACATTCTCGACTTGTTTAGATTTTGATCCCGATCGTGATTTGAGTATGGTATTTGGTACGCTGAGTTTAGTGATAATGAGTTGTGGTTAATTAGGGAATACGGCCGAGCCAAAATGGGGACATTTGAAGCAACTTCATGATCTTGTGAAGTCTATGGAGGAAGTATTGACCTATGGTGAGGTCAATCACACCGAATACGGTCACTTGACAACAGTAAGTATCTCTCTCTCTATCTCTATATGTATCATTTGGTGAGCGAAAGCCAACACGGAGAAGCTTTCCCACTCCTTTCCCTATTCTCCATTTAAACGAGGATTTCTCCCTCTATTTGAGGCGGGTTCCCGTAGGTTAAATGGACATACGGGATAGGGAAGCTTTCCAACTCCCTTCCCTGTTCTCCATTTAAACCCTATTCTCCATTTAAACGGAGATTTCTCCCTCCATTCGAGGTGGATTCCCGTAACTTATATGGACATCTCAAACCTAACCGTCACCGAATACGTTTGCAACAGGCAACAAGTTACACCTATAAGGGGAAATCAAGTTGCTTCTTTGGAAATGCAGAAAATGGTGACAGAGATATCACCTATGGGAACAGAACCTACAAAGTTCGTGGTTGGTCAGTCAGCATTCTTCCTGACTGCAAAACTGAAGTTTACAACACTGCTGAGGTCAATATCTCATTCATTGACATTCGTCCCTACCATTATAAGGATCTCTAATATCATTCCTATGAATATCAGGTAAACACTCAAACAACAATAAGGGAGAAGGTTTCAAGCCAGGTGGGAAACTTCAAAGAGCCAATGCAATGGCAATGGAGAGACGAGAAAATAGAATTCGTATCACGTGAAGGTGAAGTTACTGATTGTGCGATGACTGCCAATCGCCTTCTTGACCAAAAGGTTCTCACGAATGATTCTAGCGATTACCTGTGGTACATCACCAGGTAAATATTTTCTGTTTATCCTTTCCCTGATCCCTCCTAATTAATCTTAATCGTACTGATTAGACTAATACTACCTTCAGCTTCCATCTTAGTGGATCTGATCCACTTTTCGGCAAGAATGTAACTCTGCGTGTTAAGACCAGTGGCCACATACTTCATGCATTCTTGAACGGGAGGCATATTGGTAAACTCACTACTCACTACTCACTACTCTTGCGTTCGTCAAATGACATGACAACTTGCATCATATTTCAATTTCAGGATCACAACATGCTCAAAAGGACAAATATAGTTTCGTATTTGAGAAGAAAATCAGCGATCTATTGTATGGATTCAACCAAATTTCTCTACTAAGTGCCACAGTTGGATTGGCCGTAAGTACACCAACTTTGAAAACTACCCTTTTGAAACCCTTTAATGCAAACCTGAGATTTTGAATTGATGAACAGAATTATGGAGCGCACTTTGAGAATTCTGAGGTAGGAGTTCATGGCCCAGTTGAATTGATTGCTGATGGAGAAACAATAAGGAATTTGTCAAGCAATGAGTGGTATTACAAGGTTGGTTTGGATGGTGAAAAGTCTGAGTTTTTCAATCCCAATTGTCAATTAAGGGAGCCCTGGAATTATGGCAATCTCCCATTGAATCAGAATTTCGTTTGGTATAAGGTACTGAATTGCTTCTAGTTTCGAAGTGTTCTTGTTAGTATAATGAAATGTTCGTAAATGCATGATTGGTTGTTTGGTATAGACCACTTTTCAAACTCCAAGCGGAAGTGAAGCCGTGATAGTGGATTTGATGGGCATGGGGAAGGGTCATGCTTGGGTTAATGGACTAAGCATTGGAAGGTATTGGCCAAGTTATCTTTCAATTGAG